TACTTTAAACACTTTCCTTATCATTACTTTAACTTCCAATGGTTGATCGCATAGTTAATGGTCACTTTACGTTCTCACTCACCAGTCTCACTGAGGCAAGGGAGTCGCAGGCTGTGGCCCTGCTGTCTAACAGCATCGCGAGCGTGTTCACGCTGCAGGGCGAGGCGACGGCAGTAGCAGTGACAGATGTGTGCGGCGCGTACCCGGGTGTCGTGCCGCCGATGACCGGCCACGTGAATGCGCTGCGCTCACGCTGGGAGCAGGAGGCGAGCAAGACTGTCGCGAAGGACGAGCTGAGGAGACAGATGCCACTCGACAAGAACGGTGCGTCGATCGTGATGCGTGGCCGCAGGAACATAGCGATGTTCTCACTTGTTAATGAGCGTGGAACGTGCAATTTTGGTCCGACTTGATAATGCAAGTCGAACGTAGTGACATGCAAATTTGTTAATGGACCTGGAACGTGCTGTATTCTTCTAACTTGTTAGTGAAGTCGTGTACATGCAGTCGTCTTCTGGCTTGTTAAGGAACGTGAAGGGTGCAGTTATTTTTGAACTTGTTAATAAACATGGAATGTAAATTCCGGTTCCTACTCATTAACCAAGTAATTCATTAATATAAGTCTTGTTCTGACTGTTATGAACATAGGGCACAGGGAACTTATTGTAAAGCATTTCTTGTTTCTTGCTTTTTTGGGTGACAATTTTGAAGCATTAAAGCTTTTCAGTTTTGACAGTAGTTCCGGTTGCAAAGATATAAAACCGGCCTATCCAATACATCTACACATGGTTTTTTCAATACTGACAAAGAATCTTTTGCAGTATCTATTCTATAATTAAATAAGAAGGTAATATAATGTTACTACCTACCTACTATTTCTGTTTAATAGCGAATAGGTTAAATAATATTGCAAATAAAGGTTTGAAAGTGTAAGGATATGTTAATTGTTTGCAGGTTATGTGATGGACCCACTGAGCACCACACTGAGGATGCCTGTCCCTGTTCAACCCAGCCCTAGTTACTCCATCACTAACAGCATATTCACTCAGGTAGACGGAGCATATGCAAATTCGATGTATAAATCACCATTTTACACTCTACATAGAAATATGTGTTATTATTTGTAGTGTCTGCACATGTTGAAGCCATCTGAGTAAAATACAACTTGGAGCTGCATCAGCTTACTTTAGTCCTACATTAGTGGTGTTTTAAATAATTAGGGCCGTATTTCACAAAAGTGGCCTACTAGTGTCGTGTAGCAAGCGCTGTTCTCAACCTTTATTGATTCATACTATCTCCAACATCATTTTCTCGTCATGTGCTCGTAATACACTAAAACACTGCGTGTATTCCTGTAGATTCATCGTGAGTGGGAAGCCATGAAAGGTCCAGCCTTCCAGGCTTGCTGGGATGCCATAGAGGACGGCAGGGGCCCGGAGACGGTCGTCGCCCTGAGGGTTACTCCTCAATTCAACGACCCCAAGACTTTCACGCCGCAGAACACTCCTGAAAAATTGAGTGAATGGAGAAATCAGATGGATGCGATCCTTGGAGTCGACGAGGCAGGAGTGAAGGCCTGTGACCAACCCACGGTTGAGGCGAAGGCACTTCACAGTGGCGGCAATGGACGTGGCAGTGGTGCACACGAGCCCGATGACACCGACGATGTGGAAGTGGCCACTGGCAGTAAGGACCCACCGTCACAATCCGAGAAGAAGCCGTGGTGTGTGGCGATGGTCGCCGAGGCAACGGATGCCGGACATCCCCCGCACCATGGCAAGGCGAACCACGACGCGGCCGAGAGTCGACAGGATGGCTTTGCCCCAAAGCAGCACGTCACCATGACGACGGTGATGATCGTTGATGATGGTTATTCCGAGCAGTCGCAGGAGCGACATGCTAACGGAGGATCAGAAATACTCATCAGGCGAGTGAACACAGTGAAACTTCTCAATGAAAGCAATCGGAAAGATCAGGCAATTGGCAACACGGCAGTGGGAAGATCGGATGGAGAGATGCTGATGGATGCTGAGTGCATGTTGGAGCCGAGTGCGGAGGGCTTCTGTGAGGACTACATACAGCGTGGGGACGCCTGTGTGCACGGCGCACTGCTGGAGACGAGTAACGTGTCCAAGATGAAGAGCATGCTGAAACTCACGTAGAGATGTCCCAGATATCATGAGAGGGGGATATATTTCTCCGTAGGTTCTTAAGATTCAACCTTTGATGTAGCCACAGGGACGTTTGGGGTCAGGCTACGAAGAGATTGAACTCTGCTGCTATCTCGGAGCGATCTAATGCTGTAATCGTTTGCTCGTTAGTGCCAAAATTTACATAGTGATCGTGTATAATATAAGTACTTGCGTATATGAACCCGTGAACCAGTTGGTGAATAGTGTTATGTGATTATGCATAGCATCTGCTGCCTTTCTAGTCATTTAGAGAAAACAATGAAACTGTTGTTAATGCATGCGTTAGTTGGTTTGGAACAACACTCCTTTATAGCAGTATTAGTACGATTTCAGTTCAGGTAGAAGATTTTACAGCGTATTTATCCGTTTATTTATGGAGCGTAATATTCGTAATGCCGTTTGTTTGTAGATCTGTACTGACCTCTTGTAGTGTACTCTGACTGTGGTACTGCTTCTTATGGTGCATGCAATTTTAGTTATTATATATAAAAATAACAAATCGATGGAAAATGAGGCGTTTACCTCACTAACACGTGAGTGTAACGATAAATTGTAAGATAGAGGTTTGAGTTCGTGACAACAAAGACCGTACACAGTCTTCTATATTGTACACAGACTTTATATTGTATGTGGTCTTTGGTAACAATGGTTACGATCGGTGATCACGTGAAGCCCCTAATGTGATGCAGTATTAAAAATGAGCTTGGTCGATTTTACACGTTTTATATCTCTATAGATGCCCTTCACTTGTTAGGGCCTGACCATAGTCTGAAAGTACTATAAGTAAGTGGATTGAAAGTAATCTGTCTGCAGCTAAGCATGCCTGGTTGCTGGCATTGAACTAGAATCCGTCGTCTCATTGTACCATGTGTGAATTATATGTCAGTTTTTAGCTCAGCTTGACATCGTCAAGTTGAGCTATTGCCATGGGTCGTCGTACGTCCGTCCGTCCGTCCGTCCGTCCGTCCGTCAACATTTGGTTTCGGTCAACGATAACTCAGGAACCGTTTGACCTTCAGCTCTAAGCACGTAGGCAGCTGGCGAAATTGTATTGTGTATAATTTGTGGACTGCTCGTGTTAACATTGTATATCCAGTAAATGACACTATATATGGGAAACAGACTGAGAAACAACTGGCTTAAACATGTCCGTGACTGGATTTCGCGGTGGTACATAAAGCGTCAACCGTAGCCCTATAGTAGAAGTATGACGATAGAACATACCTGCCTGTCGCGGTGAGTGATGCTCGTGTGTACATATCAGCGTAACCTAGCCTAATTAGTAATTAGTATGAGAATCATACCTGGTTTGTCCGCTGATGATGCTTGCTGGTTCAGATCTCATCTACAGAGCAACTACGTATCTGAGCATGCAGGGTTCATCCTCTCTTATGTTGCAACTTCGGCAATGGCCGCTGTAAAACAAAAGAAATTCATATGTAGTGCATCGAAGCTATTGCCATTTTATACGCATCGGCCTTGTCGCATAGATTTTGAATACCGAACCTTCCACACGTGAGTTGCAAGAGAGCCTTGCGATGCAGAATTTATGGTGTCTTCGTAATGCATCGCGGATCTGTTGCGTCTGCCGACTCAAGAATTCAAGTCGTTTGAATGCGGTTGGCTGCTTTCGGGAGCGAGGTTTACATCGACCTAAGCTCGAGATCCGGGGAAGCGATTCACCGAATAAGACCGAAAGTTATCATGTTCAAGGTGTAAAAAATGACATTTTCAGGAAAATAATACGCAGTGGGCTACGCGTTCAACTTACACACACACAGCACACACACACACACCCAACACACACACAACAAGACGGCACGTCACACAGCACCACGCACGGGCACTGGTGCCGAAGGTAAATTCTATCTGCCCGACGCACGCAGCGCACAGGCTACGCTACGACAGCACACGCCGAGCTACGCAGCCACGCAACGCACGCAGCATGCACACATCGAGGCCAGGAAGCAACGTTGCATGCATCGCAACGCAGGCACACAACGACGCACACACAATCCACAGCGCCATTCGCGGCGAAGCCACACGTGGTGGGACAGCGCACACGCAGTCACACACACACACAACACTCCGCCCTTCTCGTCTATCTCACGATCAGACATGGCACACACGGCCAACACGGCGCCAGGATCACGCACGCACGCACGCGACACAGCGCACAGCAACACACACACACACACACACGGAGCGCACAGCGCACCAATTCGCAGAGGCACAGCACACAACACCTCCTCTCGCTCTTTCTGACACACAGACACAACACACACACACAGTCCATCAACAGGTTACGACATCAGCTACCACTATGGGCATCGGGGGAATCCGTCGCGCGAAGTGCTGGAGCGAAAGTGAATATTTTATCAATCAAATATCACCACACACGCACAACTCCTTTTTTCTGCTTCTCTTCTCTCTATTTCCCATCCTTCAACTTCTCATCCGTCTCTCAATTCCGATAGCAGCCTCTCTCCTCTCTCTCTCACACACATCAGCAACACACATGACACACGCATAGCCACACACACACACCCACAACAAGCAGGAACGACAGTGTGTGTGGGTGTACTCGTGTGTGCGTTGTGTGGTGTGTGTGTGTGGTCGCTCGTCTAGTGTACTTGTGTTGTGCGTCCGCGTGTGTGCATGTGTGTGTGGTTGGTGTGGTAGAGAGAGAGACGGAGGGGAGCGAGAGAGAGAAGAATAAAGTTTGTGGTGTGTGTGTTGTGTTATGTGTTTTTGTGGTCTTTTCGTGTTCTATGTGTTCATTGTGTGTGGTGTGTGAGGAAGAGAGAGAGAGAGAGATAGAGGAGCGAGAGAGAGAGAGGTGTGGTGTGTGTGTGCTAGGTGTGGTGTGGTGTGTGTGTTGTGTGGTGGTGGTGTGTGTGGTGTGGTGTGCCGTATGCGTGTCATCATGTTGTGCACAACACATCACACACTACACACGACACACGGTGGTGTGTGTGTGTGACGTAAAGCAGAGCAACGAGAGCAGGACAAGACCGAACGTACGGAGAGCCAGATGAGTAGGACTCATCACTCAAAAGAGATGCGATCGAGCGTCTCTCTCGCATCTCACAACGTCGATGCTCTCTCGTCACGACATAACACCACATAACACATGACACTCGGCACACGTCACACACACGATCACACACACACAACACACACAGCACTACACAAACACGATCACGCGTCTTCTCTCTTTGTCGCTCTGTCGTCTCACTGCGTGTCTCTCGCTCTTGCTTGTTGTGTCTCTGTAGTTCGTGCCACACACACAACACTGTGCACATCGACTCGATTTGCCGATACACAACGGCAGGACAGCAGAGGGCAAACGGAGACACACCACACACACACATCGTGTGTATGTGTCTGTTTTGTGATGTGGTGTGTGTGTGTGTGGTGTCGACACGACCACACACACACTTCGGCGTGTCGTGCGCAACGAGCACACACACACACCCTTCTTCTCTCCGAACTGAGCAACCCATTCGCACACGCCACACGCACACACACATGATGCACGACTATCACAGCACTGAGCCAAAAGACACAGGCAGAGCGACGGATGTGTGTGTGTGTGGTGTTGCGTGTGCGCGGTGTCGCACTAGTCAGCAGCATTGTGTGGCGTGTTGTGTCAATGCGTCGTTGCTGTGCAGTGCGTGCGTGCGTTGCGTGTCGATGCGTGTGCGTGCGGGCGTGCGCTGCGTGCGTGCGTGCGTGCGTGCCAGTGCGTGTGTGTGTGTGTGTGGTGTGTGTGTGGGGTGTGTGTTCACAACCCAGCGCGCGGCACATACACACACACCACCACGCCGACGCACCGCACGACGACGCACGCACAGCCCGTGTTACGTACACACGCACGCACCACGGTGTAACTGAACACGGCACGGCCGCACGTGTACTGTGGCACAGCAACCTACACACACACACGCACGCACTACACCCACGCACGCTGTACACTACGCCGTGTACGTGCCACACGCACGCACGCACGCTAATCGTACGTACACACACGCACGCACGCACGTGTTAACGTGCAGAACAGCGCCACACGCACACGCGAAGCACGTGTACGTGGCACCCACGTCACGCAGTGTACGTGCACACTACACGCACGCACACGTGCACGACACACGCACGCACAACGTGGCATGCACGCACGCCACGCACGTGTAGCGTGCACACGCACGCACCGTCACGTGTACTGTAACGACCGACACGCAAGTAGGCATCAGGGATTCGGCTACAGCAGAGCACGCGTACGTGCACCCGCACCCGTGTACGTGTCCCTGCTTTCAACATCGAGTGTTGAACGCATTCATACAAACGTAAAATCGAGGCAAACATATCACGATCGCCCAAGCACTCCACCTCCCCGCAGTTACTTCCCTCACCTCCCGCCAGGTACAGTCTGACGACAGAGCTGAGCCAAATATGGTTACATACAAAGAGAGGCGTCAGTTTGTTCCTATGGTTATGTGTCGCACAGTGTGATGGTTAATGTTTAGGCACATCTCCTCAAACAGCCAGCACTACGATGCTTAGCTGGATTCAACAACTGGAATTTCAATTCAACAATTGCGTACGCAGGTGCTACGCTGCGTTTGATTAATTGCAGAAAACTTTGGACGTACTTCGTAGAAACTCGGGTAGCGCAATTGCACTTTACGCAACGGTTGATGAATCCGGCCCAGGACCTCTGTTGGCAGTTAATGCTCCAGAAATCAAAGAATTGATAATTAACAATCTATAATAATAATGAAAAATAATAATAATAATGAACTAATATTAATATAATAATAATGATGAGCAAACAATATAATAATCATATAACAAATAATACAATAACAAAAATAATAATAAAAATTAATAATTAATAATAATAATCAATAACATAATAATAATAATAATAATAATAATAATAATAATAATAATAATAATAATAAGTATTATTCTCGATACTGGAGAGAATGTGGAGGCAGTGGATTCCTACAGACACGAAAGTTATATAATAATATTATTTTGAGAATTCCGATTGCCTTTGCATTGAAGTTAAAAGAATATTATAGATAGAATTATGAAAAACACAGTAGCACTGTTCATCTTAATCAGCTACTGTTGTTAAGGGGTTATAGACACGCGCGGGTTTCAGCCAAATTTGCTGGGCGGCGCACGGACTCGGAAACCCGACAATCGAGGACAAGAAAACAACAAGGCGCGCAGCTTAAACCAGCAAACATAAATAAATAGTTGTATTTCAAACGCGGCCGCTGATAGGAGATAAAAACCG